TTGTAATTTCTCGTCTTTTGTTCGCGTAAGCTATAGCTGGGCCTTTTCGATAAAATCATGTTTCGGCAAAATGCTTTTGGACAAACTGTTTTTCTGCGAAAAATTCATAAACTAGTGGCCGCTTTCCTCTCTATGTTTCCGAGAATTCGAGAAGCGGAGTACTCATGTTGAGTGGATGATGAAAAAGAGATTATTGAAAGGGGAGATAATGTAATTTCGTATTTTATTAAAACAGTTTAAAAATATTTAAAAGATATATATAAGACAATGAAACGTTTCGACCTCTTTTAAATTGAGATGTAATTCAGTGAACTTAATAAAATATGTATATGTGACAGTGGAAATTGGAATTCAGGGGAATTCGGAATTCCACTAATGGAAATTGGAATTCTGATCTCCACTAGTGCAAATTAGAATAAAGTGACTATTCTAATTTCAACTAGTGGTAATTGGGATTCTATTTTCCACTATAGGGGAATTCCGAATTCCACTAGAAAAAAAATTATAAAGATTTTTCTAATTTAGACTATAGTGGAAATCGGAACTATATTTTATTTATTATATATTATACGTTTGAACAAACTATTTTTTTACTGCTATGGCATGTCGTACCACATTTTGCTTTTTTGGCTTTACATGGACAATGTTTCGTGGCACATTGATTTACAATGGCAAGCTTCTGCAGAAATATCTACACCGGAACTAACACACATATATTCCTGATAAGCTTGAATGAATGTTTTTGTTGGTAATGTCGATGGATCAACCGTACGTAAATCATTACAGTTACATTCTGTTAAATCCGATAAATCTTGTATTTGATACGATCTAGATAGAATACATGTTTTTGTACATAATCGATACATATTGGTATCATTGGACGATATTTGAATTGACATAATTTGACAGGGTAATATTTTAGCTGTAACATTTGTACGATCAACTCGATCGATTTTTAGTCCAACTAAATCACCAATGACGTAATATATAATAAATAAAATATAGTTCCGATTTCCACTATAGTCTAAATTAGAAAAATCTTTATGATTTTTTTTCTAGTGGAATTCGGAATTCCCCCTTAGTGGAAAATAGAATCCCAATTACCACTAGTTGAAATTAGAATAGTCACTTTATTCTAATTTGCACTAGTGGAATCCCGAATTCCCCTAAATTCCAATTTCCACTGTCACATATACAAATTTTA